TAAACATACAATATATACATACACACATTCAAATGCATATGTGTAAGATGATAGTAGGTTTATTTCCACCTGTCATCTTTTTCTTTGAAGGTGGATAGCATCTTCCTTCACAAGTCCAAGTCATTCCATATTTTTCTAAGTCCACCAGCTCATCATTTCCTATTACAACAGTATTCCAACCCATCACATCATATCTGAGAGGTTGTCTGTGAGTGTTTTCCCCAATTTTCTGCATTCCCTCCATTCTGGGCTACGTAAGTTTTATCTATACAGGAAATTTTTAATTGAAAATAATCAAAATTGTCCATTTTACACTTCTACACTACTCTCACCTTATAATATGGTTTAAGGTCTGGTACTACTGAATCTAGTTCCTTCACATTTTTTCCCCCTAGTTTCCTTAAAGTTCCTGACCCTCTGCTCTTCCAAATGAACTCTGTTATTACTTTTTTCTGACTCAGTAAGATAATTTTTTTAGTAATTTAATTGGGATGGCATTACATAAATAGATTAGTTAGGTAAAATAGTCATTTTTTAAAGTTATATTAGCTTTACCTACCCACGCATAATAAATATTACTTCAATTATAGTGTTTTATTATTTTTTGGTATCTTAAAACATCACTCAATTCCTCTTGGCCCAATTCTAGTTTTCAAGAAGTTATTTTCTTCCTTAGATTTTGGACCTCTTTTTTTCTAGTTGGTTAACTTTCTCTTCCTAATTTTCTTGGATTGCATTTATTTTTTTCCCTAATTTTTCCTCAATCTCTGTTATTTGATTTTTGAAGTCCTTTTTAAGTTCTTCCAAGAACTCTTTTTGGGCGTCTAACCATTTGAGGTTACTCTTTGGGACAGGAGTGGCTTTTTTTTTTACCTCACTATCTTCCTCTGAATATGAACCCAGATCTTTTTTTCCAAATTGTAGCTATCTATGGTCCAGTTTTTCTCCTTTACTTGCTCATTTTTATTTTATTTTTAGCAGCTTATTATTGTAATGAAGTTTTAATCCCTAGTTGTGGATAATAGTGCCCCAGGCCTCAGGTCTTCTTCATTGTAATTTTCTGAATTCTGCCTAAGTGCCCAACCTCAGGCACTATTCTCCTCCCACAAGCCACAGTTAGGCCCCCCACCATGTAGTTCCCCCCAAAAAAAACCAAACACACTTGTTTCCTGCAGTACCGCACTCACAGAACATGTACTCCTTCCTCCTCACCCACAGATACAGCCCAGGATCATGTCTGGGCAGCACTACTAGGTCTGGTGTCGAGAAACAATGGGGGTGGGGGATTGTCCTTCAGTCTTTCACCACTCAGCCATCTAATGCCACACTGTTCCTTAAATGAAAGACTGTGAGGTGAAAATTCTTGAAGCCTAGTCTGCTTGCCAAGGAACTGCCCCTAGGGCCTGCTGTTTGCTGAGTCAGGCCAAACCTCAGCCTCTGGAGGTCCTGTCTTTCCTGAGGTCTTCTCAAGTTGTCTTAAGAGGACAACTGTTTTACCCCTTTACGTTCACCACTCTACATTCGTTTTGAGGCAATGTGCTGTTTGTGGAGGAAATTTGGAGAGCCTGGAATTTCTGACCTATACCACCATCTTTCCAGAACCCTCCTCCCCCCACTGTGGTCTTATATGATGAAGTGGCCTTACTCCTTACCAAAGCATTAATCCCTCTACTTGAGCAAGAGATCCCATTCCATCCTGTTTCCTCCAACTGATTTTCCCTTCTGTCATTACCACTCTTTCAATTATTTTTAATCTCCCCCTCTCTACTGGCTTCTTTCCTACTGTACAAATATGACCATGTCTCCTCTATCCTGAAAAACCTCCAGTGGATAAAGCAGTGGCCCTGGAGTCAAGTGGACCTGAGTTCAAATCTGGCCTCAGACACATAACACAAGCGTGTGACTCTGAGCAAGTCACTTAACCCCAATTGCCTCACCAAAAAACAAAAAAAACAAGAATAACCTTACCTGATCGTTTCATTCCTGCTATTTTCTTCGCCCTTTGTGGCTAAACTCCTTGGAAAGACCATCTACAGCAAGAGCCTCCACTTTCTCTTCTCTCTCTCTCTCCTCTTAGTCCCTTACAAGCTAGCTTCCGACTTTATCCACTGAAACTGCTCTCTCCAAAGTTACTAATCATATCTTAGTTGCCAAATCTAGGGGCCCTTTCTCAGTCCTCATTCTCCTTGACCTCTCTGCAGCCTCTGACACTTCTGATCACTCTCCATGATACTCTCTCCTCTCTGACCACTCTCTCCTGATTTTTCTCCTTCCTCTCTGACTGCTCCATCTCTCTCTTTTGCTGGATCCACTTCCCGATCACACCCTCTAACCATAGGTGTCACTCATGGTTCTGCCTGCATTCTCCTCTCTTCTCCCTCTATACTACTTCACTTGGGGATCTCATCGGCTCCCATGGATTTAATGACCATCTCTATGCTGATGATTCTCAAATCTACCTCTCCTGCCCCAACCTCTCTGCTGAGCTCCAATCTCAAATCTCTAACTGCCTTTTAGACATCTTGAACTGGATGTCTAAACTCAGTATGTCCAAAACAGGACTCTATCTTTCCCCCTAAAGTCTTCCCCCCCACCCTTCTCTTTTCCAGAGTCATCAAAGTCCAGCGGCAGTACAAAAGTCAGTGGCCCAGTTACAGTGGATGACCTTGGTGTCTTCAATCTCTAAGCTGCCTTTGTGGCCTTTGGAACAAATTGTTCTTATCTGCCCATTCCATTGGGGAAAGTTCTGCCAGGGGAAGTAGACATGTTTGGAGTAGACATATCCCTAACTCATAGATGGGTTTGAGGCCGGTTGATTACCTTCAACCTGGTTCAGCCCATCTTTGGAGACAGTTCTCTTGGGTGTGACCAATGTACTTGCTACAGTTTCTTGGAGCCACAAGTGAGAGTAGGGTGAACCAGGTAGACATCAAAGGTGGATAAACAGCTCTTGGCAAGCCCTCACACCAGGGCTGCTAGTCCTCCCAGAACACCCCAAACATAACCTTCCATCCCTCTGACTAGAGGGTGGAGTCATAAAAATCTCTCCATTTAAAAGGAGAGAGGGAAGAAAACTGGCATCTCATTTCCCACCCTGCTGCACTCATTTTGAACTTCTTTGACATCTCCACTATTCCTCCCTCCCTGGGAACCCCCAACCTCTGCTTTTCAGCTTTCTTTTATATGTTGTCTTCCCCCACTAGATTGTAAGCTACTTAAGGACAGGGACTATCTTTCATACTTTCATTCCTAATACAATACTTGGCACTTAATAAATATTTATTAACTGACTCTAACTGGTCTCAGGATCCCTTAACACTCTTAAAAATGATTCATGACCCCACTCCTCCAAACAGCTTTTGTGTATGTGAATTATATCTATAAATATTTATCATATTAATAGTAATAATAGTAGTGCTTAGCATTTATATAGTGCTATAAGGTTTGTAACAAGCTTACAAATATCTCATTTGATCCTCACAACAACCCTGGGACATTGGTGCTCTTATACTTCCCATTTTATGGGAAGCTGAGGCAGACAGTGTCAAATGACTAGTGCAAGGTCACACAGCCATCTGACAGAGTCTGTGGGTCATCAGCTAGTTTTACAACCAGCTTCCCTCCTTCTCCTGTAGCACAACTTTCTGCTGGCATTCTTCACACTCCTTCTCCTGCACTGGTAATACTCTGCTGCCTATTCATACTAGCATACACATTGCCTTCTGGGTGACCCTCAACTTTAATTATTTGGAGACTGTTGCAGTCCATAACCTGCAGCCATTTATTAGGCCTGGAAGAATGCTGATGTTAAAAAGATGGACTTCTGTTTCAGAGAGACATTCTGAAAAAAAAGATGCTGCCCCAACTTCTGCTTAACTAGATTGTTCTGTTTTCAGAGATGGAAGTGGGGTGGTTGTTGGAAAAGTATTGAAAAAATAAAAATAAATTTAAAAAAGAAAAGTATTGTTGTATCAAAATCGATAAACTATTCCAAATAAAATAAAAGGCAATGATTTGAAAAGGGGAAATACAGAAATATAATAAAAGCCCAATGCAATCTAGAGCACTTTCCTATTCTCATTCAATTCTAGGCCCAATTGGCAAACTATTAGTAAACTGTGTATTACCTGTACCTGATTCCAATGTTTGGATCCTCAGGACACATTCTTAGCAGGAAGGAAACAGGAATGTGAGAGAGACTATGTGTAGTCATGTATGGCAACAGACCTAGTTTGCTTGGGGAAGCTTGCCTTTGGCAGGTAGGTCAATAGGAATAGAGGTAAAATAAAGAAACTGCCTCTTATGTCAATCGGTAGAGCTAGTCTTCATCTACAGAGACCCTTTGTGAGCAACATAGAGAGCTTCCCCCAAAGAGATGGCTCTCTGTCTTCACCCAGGTTTTTGTCTGACCTGTTTATCCTTTTCTGAGGTGTTAAGTGTGTCCACAGTCAAGGGAGGGTTTTTAACTAGGTTACTGGAAATATTACCCTGGCCCTTCTCCTTCTCTATTGTTCTTCTTATATATCTCCTCAGGGAAACTCACCAGCCAGACTAGATATAGGATATGTGATACGATATGATATCATATGATATGATATATCTAAAACTAGAAACCTCATAAACTATCTGGCCTAGCCCCCTCATTTTACAGATGAGGAAACTGAGGCCCAGAGAGGTTCGGGGTATCACTCAATTCCACACAGGTAGTAAGTGGCTGAGACGGGATATGAAACCAGGTTCTCTGATTCCAAATCCAGCCTTTGCTCTGCACCAGAGGAAACTGAGGTCAAAGGATGTTAATAGGATTTAGAGTTGGAAGGGGCCTTTCCTGCAACTCGTTCTTCTCTCTATTTATCTCTAAATAAGCAAAGTCCTTAAAACTGATACTCCTTCAGACCTCCAGGCTAAGCATAAATTAGTTAGGGCTGCTACATTGCACGCAACATACTCTAGGGAATGGAGAGCTTTGAGGTTTACATTATACACTGTTTTAAACATACCCATATTCTGGAAGCTCTTTATCAAAGTTAATGCTCTCCTCATAGGTGACATTCAGTTTTTCATCAACAGCAATTACCTTCACCTGAAATAAAATTTGAAAGAAAAAAAAATCTTGAGTCAGGTCAAATAAGTATTAAAATAGTTGTCTATGAGAGCTCTTGTCTCTTAAAGACAAACCGGCCGCGCACACGCAATAGGCTTGTTGCCCAGTTCTTTCTCTGGAGTACCAGTCTACACCAGTGTAGCAATTTACGGTTGCAAAGTGCTTCACAGCCATCATCTTGCTTAATCTTCACAGTGTCCCTGTGGATCCATGGAGCCATTATTGAATTATCCAGACAAGAATGAGCATTTTTACCTCTGACAACTAGGTGGCACAGGGGGTAGAGCACTGGGCCTGGAGTCAGGAAGACTCATCTTCCTCGGTTCAAATCTGGCTTCAGACACTTATTAGCTGTGTGACCTTGAGTAAGTCACTTTACCCTGTTTGCCTCAGTTTCCTCACCTGTAAAATGAGCTGGAGAAAGAAATGGCAAACCACTCCAGCATCTTTGCCAAGAAACCCCCCCAAAAAGCCAGAAACAATGGAACACCTTTTTACTTCTGCTAAAATTTCACCTTCTACTGAGAAGCCTTTCCTGTTTCCCCTTAAGGCCCATATCTTATAGTTATCCCATCTGTTCATACATGTTTTCATGTTGTGTTGCCCATTAGATTGTAGGCTCCTTGAAATCAGGAACTGTCTTTTCCCTTTCTTTGTATCCCCAGAACTTAGCACAATGGCTGACACACAGTAGGCACTTAATAAATACTTATAGACTGCCTGTCTCAATTTTCCAGGTCCCCAAACACAGTCCCTCCTCAAAGAACAAAATATCATCAATATACAACATTGCTAAGGCAACATACTCCATTTTCTGCTGGTGCCCACACCTTTCTAAACACTAGGCCAAGGATCAGGACACCTAGGTTCTAGTCTCAGTTCTGCTGCTATCTGTGTGATCCTGAACAAGTCATTCACATTTCTGGGCCTGTACTTCCTCATCTGTAAAATGAGAGGGCTGTTTCATTGATCCTTTTCCCCTTCTCACATTTTATTATTCTATAAATCTGCAGGCTCAGTTCCACATTTTTTCACAGCTGTGTGGGTCCCATTGGTTTTAAATCTCCCTAAAGCTTCTCAGGCCTGGCTCCCAGCCCTCTTCTTCTTCCTTCTAACCCTTGTACCCCAAGGCTTTGGCCCGCCTCCTTTCTTCCTTGGCCTCCCCAGATTATCTTCCACCTGAGATTTCACACCCACCCACCAATTCCCTACAGAAAGAGGAATAATTTCTCAACTTACCCACTCCCCTGCTGTCTCTGAAACAAGCACATAGCCCTCCCTTTTTTTTTCAGTTTTATAAATGTTTTTCTGACAGCAGTTATAAGGCGAATAGACTTTAAAATAAAAACAAAAGGGAAAAACTAAGTCAGAATAAGCCGTAAAGGTCTCAATAAAGGGCATGCCTAGTTGTCACTGAAATGTCAGGGTGCCAGGACCATCAATTCTTATGCCTTTGGCTTACTCCCACAGTTTGAGAGTCATCACTGCCTCAACCCTGTCTAAGCAAGGTGCTTACTTCAATCTATTCAGGCTCCTAGCTTCAGGGAGATTCAGGATGGCACCACTGCCAAGTCAAGCAAGATTCTCAGTCTTTTCCCAAACCAGCTTCCTACTCTTCTCCCCTGATCCAATCCTCTGCTGTTTGTCCTTTGTTCTCAAAGGTGACCAGGACATCAGAGAGGTGATGCCATGACATCGAAGTGAATTGGATTTAAGTGAGGGAGGACTGTGCAAGGTCACCAGCCTCACTTTCTCCTCCAGAGCCATCTGGGTCCAGTGACCAGATTTGGATCAGGACAACTGGACATGGCCCAGGATGCAGTAGGGGACCTTGGCCTTTTCAAGCTAAGGTCTTTAACAGGTCTGACTGATGCAATGCCCACTTAGTGACTAAGGCTTAATAAGAAAGGAGGCAAAAAATGGCCTTTTTAAAAAATGTATATATGTAGATCTAGGAGGTGAAGACCCTCAGGGTTTCTGGCCAAAACAGAAACAATTTCAAGGTGGTGCCCAACGGCCCTGAGCAGTGCAGCATTTCCATTCTGCTGCTACAAAGGAATGTCTTTGTATCAACAAAAGCCCACCAACCATCAAGAGGATTCCTGACTGGCTGAGTGTGAGCTTGGACTAGTAAACCAATAAATGAGCCTGCTCTAGAGTGGATGAGAGTTGCTAGGGCCCTTGACAAGGATTTGTCCCTGTGACTTACAGTATTGGAAAATTGCTTGGGGTGGGAATGAGGGGAAGGGAAAAGACAGAGAGAGACAGAGAGAACGAGAGAGAGGGAGGGAGACAGAGAGACAGACATAGGGAGACAGAGACAGAGAAACAGCAACAGAGAGAGACAGAGAGAAAAGAAGTTATGGAGGCTTCCACATGGTGTGGAAACAACTGGGAAGTGTCATGGAGGTCTGATTCCAGACAATATAAGAATAATAGCTAGCATTTGTATAGTATTTTAAGGCTTGCAAAGTCCTCTGTAAACATATTTTATCCTCCCAACAACCCTGGGAGGTAAGTGCTATCATCTTCATTTTACAGATGAGGAAACTAAGGCAGCCAATTGCCTAGGGTCACACAGCTAGTAAGTATTTGAGGCAGAATTTACCTTAGGTCTTCCTGATTCCAGGTCCAGAACCTTACCCTTGTGATACCTAGCTGTCCAGTTAAGACAGAAGTTCACCAATCAGAGCTGGGGAACCTTGGGGAAGTATCCAAGCTTGCGGTTTTGGAAAATTTGGAAATCCCAGCCAGTTTGTTTCAGAGACAGGACATGAAATTGGATTTTGCTAACTCTGAGAAAGCCCTTTTCCCTCTACCACAATAATTCAGCATATTACTCTATTTTCTTATGGATAAATTCTGGAAACTATATTTGTGTTTTGGAATTTCTGGAGAAACACTGGGCAGAAAACCTTATTAAGCCAGAAAAGCATGGCCCTGAAGCTTATGTTTGGGGGAATCAAAACAAGATCATGAAGCAAAGTATCATGGATTTAGGGGTGATGGGGACCTAACAGGAAGAAGGGGAAGAAAAGAAAACAAGGGTACACCAGAACCAAGTACCAAGATGTGGTGGCTTCAAGAAAAGAAGAAAGGACGAGTGTGCTGGAATCAAGAGTAGTTATAAGGAACCCAAGTGAGTTCAGCCACCCAGAAGTGATTCCTTAAATTGGGGATTAGAAACAAGGAAGGCTTAGAAACTAGCCAAGAACACAGCCAATGCAGGGACTTGTTTGCTTGAATATACATTTTTTTCCTTTGTTTATAGGGAAAGTTGGAGGGAGAGAAAATAAATCTTTGTTAATTGAAAAATCAGGGAAAAGAGAAAGAAGAGGGGAAAGAAATTAGTCAAGGGGGAAAAAAACCTGGGGGCCAAGGGCAAGGTCTCCAGGATCAGCTGAAATGGAAAGCTGAAATGGTCAGTAACCTCGAGCCCAGGGCAGAATTATTCATAAGCCATTCACACTAACATCCTCCTACATCTGACACAAGCATATGTCCCTACACAGAAATCCTCTACATCTCTCCACATGCATACACCAACTTGTTTCCTAGTGCCCCTACGTGAAAACCCCATATATTTTGCATGTACCACTACATACAAACCACCAACTATATACACTTCATGGCCATCACTAGTTGCACACACCTCTATTTCTGAAATGTGTCTTTTCATATTTTATCATTACTTTCTTGTTTTGACATATAGCCCCAGGCAATGCTCCATCACACAGGGGGCCTTTATACCCATCTCCGCTATTGCTAACACTAGGTAAGTGAGATTTGAGAAACTCTCCTTACACAGAGGCAAAGCTCAGTGCTGTAAAATCTCATACCTTTGATTTAGCAGAGAATCTAGTACCTTCCTGGCCCTCCCTGGGATTAGCCTGAAGGAACATGAGGGGAATTGGTGGGCTGGAGAGTAGGTGGACAGTGCCAGAGGGACAGAGAAAAGAGACTTTAAAATGGAGCTCCAGGACAAGAAAACACTAGAGATCAAACAGTATTCTTGGGAGAAAGAGGCATGCCTTTGTATCTTAGATGGTGGTATGATGTGGTCGAGAGCATCGAGATGTGGGAATACGCATTGAAGCTCTGATTCTACCTGAGATCATGTCCCCTCTCTGGGCCTCAGTTTCCTCATTTGTAAAACAAAAGTGGTAATACTTGCAAGCATCATAGCATGGCTGCATAGAAAGTCTGCTTCTGCCATATAAATGAGTAAGCAAAAAGTCGTTTCACAAATCAGCAAATAACACTGAGAAAGTTTCAAGCTAAATCCAGTTCCGGGGATAGAGTCATAGGTCATTAACTGAAAGATATGAAAAACAGGCAGGTTCAAAGGGCAAGAGTAACTGAGTTCAGGACCCTTTGCTTACCATCATGCTGTCCTCAGGTTCTGGCCTGCTTGTGAGCTGCTCAGAATATTCCCCTTTCCTCCTAACCTGAAACTACTAATACAGAGTTAGTAGGACTGGAGAGTCAAACAGACTTAGGTGCAGTGATGGAGCTGAAGTCAGGAAGACCTGAGTTCAAATCCTACCTTAAATACTTTGTTAGTAGTGTGATCATGAACAATCACTTATCTATCTCATCCTCGGTTTTCTCATCTGTAAAAGGGGGGGAGTAATAATAGCACCTAATTCATAGGACTGTGGTAAAGTTCAAATGAGATAACATATAGATATATAGAAAACATTTTGCTGACTTTAAAGACCTATATAAATGTTACCTTCTATTAGTATGAAAAGTCTGAAATTTTTAAAGTGTTGTTACTTTAAGTGTACACTATTACTGGGCTATCTCCAGTTGTCCTGATCTATATCTGGCCACTGGACCCAGAGGGCTCTGGAAGAGAAAGTGAGGCTGGTGACTTTGCACAGCCCTCCCTCACTCAAATCTAACTCACTTGCAAGTCATGGCCCTCTTCGAGAACGGACAAACCACAACCTGTGAGCAGTCCAAGCTGCCCCACC